ACAGCCAGGACAAGCAAACTAATTACCGTGCGGCTTGCGTGCGCCCTGTGGCATTAATGAGGAAATGTAACGGAGCTAACAACCCATTTTACAGACGCCCCAGTTCGGTTTATTTGAAAGTTGTGCCAACAGCGCTGAACTAAAAATGTGTCCATCCAAATTACTTTAATTTTTTATGTGTTCAAGTGTCACTTTCGCTGTCGGAATGAAATTCATTCTGGTTATGGGGGATTTAATAAAGATGAGGATTGTGTGTGTGATGCAATGAAAAGTAACAGGTCTACAACATTTCATAAAATATATGCAGCCTTGAACTAGCCTTCAACCACCACTAGTTATGATGTAAAAATGATAATTATAATCATAACACAATGTCATTTATTCAGTTAAATTTTTTCCAGTAGATGAGGACAACTCAAAGGGCAACTTCAATATTTTTCAACCTGGACCCTATTTTCCAATGTTTTTGTTTCTATTTCCACCAAACACTTTAAGTATGGTACCTTTGGAACCAACAGTAACCCTTCAGACATGGTACCTAGACCCTAATGTCTCCACTGCAAACAGTACTCTTAAATATGGGCAGGGCTGTTGTCACTCACTGCTCCATCCATTGATTGGTTTCCACTGTGAAAAGTTGTGGATGGTACCAATGGAACCGTTCTGTGCCATCCCCATTTTTGGTCCCCCCTCTGTTGGGGTACCTAGCACACAGATCTGGTACTAAAAGGTGGAGCTGTGAACACTGCAGTCTGTTGATTCGTCAATAGAGGATGGTCACTCTGCTCAGGGCTGAGTTGTGGCTGGTTTTGAAGGTCATGTAACCACTGTTCATACTGTGGAGAGTTTTACAAACATTAGTAAACTATAACTATAAAATGAAACGGTCCCAGCTAGACGTTTCCTGAAGAGTGCCTGGCATTTTCAGCAGGAAAAAACGCTTGGTGGACACGGGGCCTGAGTCACTTAACAGGTCCAGGTTGAAAAAATATTTGACAGATTTGTCTTTAGTACTATTCGGACGGGATTAGTTTTACATAGGGATGTGGACTAATGTCAGTTTACCACGGGATGTCTGTAATATAAATGTCCGATTAGCACGGGATGAGAAATCCCGACATCCGGACGTAATTCTACCAGAGGTGGGAGTGGTAACTCGGTTTGTGCCCTGGCGTCACCTCCCTGTTGGCGTGTGCATGCTATGTTGCTTCCTGTAAGCATCAGCTGAAGGATAATAATAATTTAAATAATAATTAAAGATTAGCCCAATATGAAATATTGCCCATGATCAGGATTGTGTGTACACAACGATTAGCATTATGGATTTATATTAGGCCTACCTAACACAACCAGAAGTCTTGTGGCTCTGAAAAGTGCTTTCTTCTCGACCTTTTTGATTGGTCTTCCACATAGGGCTATGCGATCATTAGAAGAATGTCCACTATCACGACTGCCGACAACACCGAATGCTTCTTCAAGCGCCTCCATCATCCAAAAAAACGCAGGAAAACTACTTGTAAACGCGGAAAAATGGTTGTAAACAGGACGTGACGAAATATTTACATAAATTTTTTTACAGAGGATCGCGTTCGCATGGGATTAATATTACTCGAGGTATTTTCTCTGGACCATTTTACAGAAGGTAAAAATTGCCATAATTTTTACTGACATTATCTGTAATGATTACAGACATGGCGCGTTCTGACGGGACTAAAATCCCTGGTAATAATTACTTTACCCCACGTCTCCACGTTAAACTAATCCATCCGAATAGGGCTTTTCTCAAGGTCAGTGGCAAGATGTGCACACGTGGGTTTGAACTGGCAAAGGTCTGACTTAAAGGTTATGCCCCTCTCAAGTACACCACTGTAGTGATACATACTTAGTAGGGATGTTTAGCTGCCATAATCAGACCCTGCTACTGTATCATACACCAGAGCTGCAGTCCCGACACTGGCACTGTGCAGTTTCATGGCTGACTGGGACCGTTAATAAAACTAAAGCACTGCTAATGAAATTTGTTTCTCCTGTGCTTTTCCTGCTTTGATAAGTCAAAATGTCTGCTGTGAGAAAGGTCAGCTGGCAACAAAAGCAACAGCAACAATTTAAGTTGAGACTTTCATATAGACATGACGATGTTAGAACTGTGTCTCTTTTGTTTCCAAGATCACTCTTGACCTTGGAAATGTGTCCTTTACAAATGAGACATGTCTCCACAGCAGCAGCTTTGCCACCAACATGGCCGGATCAACCTGTGGCCCCGGGGCAAAAATAAGCTGCTGCTCAATGTAGCCTGTAGCTCTGACTGCTTCTCTGTGGACCGTGCTCACGTGCGCATGCTTGTGCACGAGACCAGCGAAAGCACGTGAACACAAATGAAGGTGGTGCCCATGTCTCAAGGTCTCGCACAAGTGCACATCCGTCAGCGCAGTGTACACAGAGGCAGTTAGAGCTACAGGCTACATTGAGGCTAAAAACAGAGTTTAAATGACGTTTTTCCAAACAACTTTTTATGTTGGGGCTTCCGGACACTTGGATCACTACGGACAAGCAGTTTGGAGATATTTTGTGGTTTCAATTATGTGTTCTTGGACGTTTTAATCTGGGTCGCCGTCAGCCATTAGGTGTGCAGTCGTGCTGCTACCCACCCCCCCATCGGATCTCCGCAAGTGTTGTGAGGACTCTAAAACTTCACCAGAGCCTCCCTCGGCATATGGGTGAGTAGATAATGGCTGAATTTTCATTTTTGGGTGCACTATCCCTTTAAGGGGAGACACTGCAGGTGAATAGGGAAAACTTTTACCTCGTAGATATCACCATAAAACATCTCCAGGTGATTGCTTACATTAAGACAATTTATTTTTGCATTATATTTCTTAAATTGTATATTTAAATATGCAAATGTAGCATTATCTAATTAAATATGCACTTCTATGCAAACAGTTCCAGAACAGAAACACTGGATGAAGCCAGATTCACAACCCTTATTTTATTTTGTTGTTGACATTTTAGAGTCATATAGGTTTCAATAACAGAGGGAATTTTGGATATCTCTTTTTGTCACTCCATAAGTCAGAAAATAGGCAACTGTAAAAAGCTATAATAAATAATTAAAAACAAAAGATTTTCGCCAAGTTGTTTTGGAATAAAATGTTAACTAAATCAGACTATGAATGATTTATGAACAAACTGAAAAAACCTTCAGAATATAGACAGGAATAAAACTATAAAGTTTGGTGTGTGTAAGTGCTACTGAGGTGGAGACTGCTGGCTTAGAGCGCAAGAAAAAAATACTTTTGAGAAAATGGCCTTTAAAAATATGTATTGTAAAATTCCACACATAAAATAAGACAATGCAGGTGGACAGGGTGAATTTTCAACTAACAGATATCACCATGAAACTTTTCCAGTTTATTATTAACATTTAGAAAACTATTTTTGTATTACAATTCTTCATGAATTTCATGTTTAAATATACAATGGTATTTATTACTATTATTTGATATTTATTTATTACTATTTATCTGATATTTATTTAATTATTTCAATTTGAATTTAGTATTTTGGATGTTTTATTTTTTACTTGTCAAATAAATAAATAATAATGAAATAAAAATATGGAGGCAAAATAGCCCAATCTCTCTCAACTTATAGATATATAATAATACCTGCTGCTCTTATAGATGTATAATAATACCTGCTGCACTTATAGATGTATAATAATACCTGCTGCACTTATAGATGTATAATAATACCTGCCGCACTTATAGATGTATAATAATACCTGCTGCACTTATAGATGTATAATAATACCTGCCGCACTTATAGATGTATAATAATACCTGCTGCACTTATAGATGTATAATAATACCTGCTGCACTTATAGATGTATAATAATACCTGCTGCACTTATAGATGTATAATAATACCTGCTGCACTTATAGATGTATAATAATACCTGCTGCACTTATAGATGTATAATAATACCTGCTGCACTTATAGATGTATAATAATACCTGCCGCACTTATAGATGTATAATAATACCTGCTGCACTTATAGATGTATAATAATACCTGCTGCACTTATAGATGTATAATAATACCTGCTGCACTTATAGATGTATAATAATACCTGCTGCACTTATAGATGTATAATAATACCTGCTGCTCTTATAGATGTATAATAATACCTGCTGCTCTTATAGATGTATAATAATACCTGCTGCACTTATAGATGTATAATAATACCTGCTGCACTTATAGATGTATAATAATACCTGCTGCACTTATAGATGTATAATAATACCTGCTGCACTTATAGATGTATAATAATACCTGCCGCACTTATAGATGTATAATAATACCTGCTGCACTTATAGATGTATAATAATACCTGCTGCACTTATAGATGTATAATAATACCTGCTGCACTTATAGATGTATAATAATACCTGCTGCACTTATAGATGTATAATAATACCTGCCGCACTTATAGATGTATAATAATACCTGCTGCACTTATAGATGTATAATAATACCTGCTGCACTTATAGATGTATAATAATACCTGCTGCACTTATAGATGTATAATAATACCTGCTGCTCTTATAGATGTATAATAATACCTGCTGCACTTATAGATGTATAATAATACCTGCTGCACTTATAGATGTATAATAATACCTGCTGCACTTATAGATGTATAATAATACCTGCTGCACTTATAGATGTATAATAATACCTGCTGCACTTATAGATGTATAATAATACCTGCCGCACTTATAGATGTATAATAATACCTGCTGCTCTTATAGATGTATAATAATACCTGCTGCTCTTACAGATGTATAATAATACCTGCTGCTCTTACACATGTACATTAGTACCCGCCGCACTCCGCCGCTAGGCTTCCCATCGGCCTATCGCTGCTCTCCTACACGCTGACGACAACACCCGGAAGTGCCGAGCTGCTTGCTTTGTTTTGTTTTGGTAGTGGGAGTTGGAGAAGAGGGAGCCAGGAAGAGGTCCGCTCGGTCCGGGAGAGAACCGCTCACTAAATGGGGAGAGCCACATCGGGGATGGAAGATGACGGACCGATAACTGACGCCTGTAACATGCCGAGCTTCATCAGCAGTCTGGAGGAAGGGAGGGCGAAATTGTCCCGCAACCTGCCGACGGAAACTTCCCTCACGGACGGTAAAGTTGAGCGGTCGGTCAGAGATTTGAGCCGCCGTGTCAGCAGATCAAACTCTCGGTTATCGCTGGACGGGGGCGAGCGAGAGTCGGAGGAGAGGAGCAGCGAGGAGGAGAAGGATGCGAAGGGCAACAACAACAACAACTGCAACAGCGGAGGAGGAGAGAGGAGGAGGGCGAGCGCTGTCGAGATTTTGAGGAGGAATTTCGGGGTTTCAAAGTCTCCCTCCGTGTATCTGAACACTAACAGTCGGAGTAATGGCGGCGCCGAGCACGAGCCCCGCGAAGGAGCCGTTACTAACGACGTTTCAAACGGTTATGAAAGTGAATGTAGCGAATGTAAAAAGTCGGAGCGGGAACCGGGCGACGCGGGGACTAAAAACGAGCCAACCTCCAGCGACTTGACTTCGGATGTACAAGGAGTTGAATTTTTAACATGTCACCGCCATCATAAATGTGACAGTGACGTCAACACGACCACTTTAGACGAGTCCTTCAACAGTAAGGAACACATCTACTGCACTGTCTACTGCATCGCTAACGACAGCCTCCGAACAGACGTTGAAATCACAGACGATGAAACCATCCCATGTGACGCACCAGAAATGGACTTGGAGCCCGGACAGGACGCGGGTTCGAGTCCCGAACCGGTTCTCTACACACTGGACGACCTGGTGGACCCTTTCGGGAACATAACACACCGGTTTTCCATGCCTGAGCAGGCCGGTGCAGAGACAGCGTTGCAGAGATGCCGGGTGTGCCTGGAGGAGAAAACCATCGCACCCTTGCCCTGCTGCAGGAAGGCCGTGTGCGATGAGTGTCTGAAGCTCTACGTCAGCCCCCAGGTTGGTAGCAGGGAGGGAGGGAGGGGAGGAAGAGGGGGGATTGTTTAGTGCAGCAGGGTGTCACAGTGCCGAGGCTGAGCCTGTCCCAGAACCAGGACTGCTGGGTCAGTCAGCAGCTGGTTCAAGTGTCCTTGAGCTGCAGCAGTAACACTCACACACAGTCCTCTCTGTCACACTTTGTGTTGTGTTTGCCATCTTATCTACTCCAGGGCAGGGGCGTGGTTCAGATTCTGGGAAGTGCTGAAAAGTACCGAGAGCTGGTACTGAATAACTCGACTCCACATGTTTGGATTAAGGGCCTAAATGGACTCTCTATTGTAAATTAAAGGAAAACCTCACCCTCTCAAATGACCATTTGTACTTAAGTAACTCACACTGTGTTATGTTGAATGCCTCTGTGGTAAAAGAAGAATCCAAAAGTGGAGAAAATTCTTGATGATAGAAAGTCATAGGCGTGTTAAACAACAGCAAAACCATGTACATCTTGTGCAGTATAAACCAATTCTCATTTATCCAGATGTATGTTCAGTACTTCCCAAACAGACAGCTCTTTCAACACATTCTCACTCCCAACTTGTCAAATACGCTACACGTGACGCTACACGTTACACCAAGATGCTGGGAGGGGGTGGGAGGATTTAGAAGGATGTCAGATTGACCATATTTTGTGTCATTTAAACTAGACTAGTTTGGGGAACAACTTAGCGCGTCTTTGGTGGTCTATAACGGCTTCGTAGGTGCATCACATCCTTCACTAGGGCAGAATGGGCAGGAGCGTGTTTTTGCTTCCAATTTAATTATGTCAGTCTACGTGTTTGTGGGGTTACAAATAATATCATGTTATGTTGGGAGCTAGTTAACACAACATCAGAACCTTTTATACCAAAGAGTGCAGTCAGGATCAGGATCCACAGGTCTGCCCAAGACGTCTGACAGCGACTGAAAAATATTTTGCCAGTATGTTGTGACTCTGGGGCAGTGCCAGAACATTTGGGATAGCAAGGCTGGTGATTGCCCACAATGGTCACATGCTAGACTAATATTTAGATAGATTTTACAGAGCTTATTTTTTGATAAGTGAAGTCTATACAATATTTTGAATTGCAAAAGTCCATGTCTAGCACAAACTGAGGAAGAGTGTACCAGTAATTGGGCTTTTGTTCGTGACTCTTCCAAAATAGCAACCCCCAAATAATTTACCCTGGCTACTTTTAAATAATCTAGGGAGGCCATACAATCGAAATAGGAAAGTGTACTATAAATAACAGAGATTCTTAATTTCCAATTACAAAGGAAATGTACATGTTTCCGTTTGTTAAATGCATACAGTCTCTTTTCAGAAGAAGTGTAGTATGCTACACATTCTAGTACACTACATTAAAATAACTTGATTGACTTTTGGTTTCACACAGGAAATAAACAGTGGTCTTCTGGGTGAAAGTTATGAGTTTGTTTGACCCATCAAAGTAGCATGAGGTTTGAGATATTCCTATGGTTTGACCCATCCACCTCCTCTTCCACCTGCCCTATGCAGACTCTCTTGCTCTTTATACTATGGCAGTTGATCGGCTGCCGCCCAATGCATCTTATACCATCAAGATAAAGGTTTCATGAAATTGTTACTGAACATGTGCAGGTCTCCTTATTTCATCACTGACACTCTGCACTAAAATTGGCATGTTTGACAAAAGCTTACACTGTGCACTTTTGGGCTTATTCAGCTGAGTTTCCTTCTTACGGGCTCACCTATTGAAGGAAGATTTCACCATCAGATACTTGTAGTCCGCTGTGTATCATTGTCAGTCTAGTTACAATCCAACAAAGCACAAGTGTGTCCTTCAACTTGGCTCTTCTTCTACACTGTTCTCTTCTCTTCCTTCACCAAAGTGCCTCTTGTTGATGCCAGAAAATACGCCTGAGCAGCACGGAGAGAGCATCACTACAGCAAAGTATTGCTTTATCTCAGTCAAAATATGTCACAATAGGGGTGTAAAATATATTGTGGCTACAATTCATTCTTTGTCCACAATAAGAGCTTCACTTCCCTGAGTCTGGTGATGATTTACTCTTATAGATCAAGGAAGTGAATAATAGATGGATGAAACATTTACCCGCTTTAGAAAAAGTCATCAGAAATGAAAGGCACATTGCCAATCGCTGCTCCCTAACAGAGCTAAAGTGTTTTGGGATGGATTTGTCTTTAAGTGCCTTGATCATGAACTGGTACCATCCTCTGATCATAATCCTGAGTTTGGGAGACGCTACTATCTAAGGCCCTTGCTACTGTTACTGTAATATGCTTTAATCTGTTGAGACAAAACAGTTTTTTATCAGTCATCCAGTCTGCTTTTTATCTGCAATTATCTTGCTTTGATAACAAGGTGTGAATAATCACACAAACACAGAGACAAGCAGAGTCTCCGATAAGCACACGGAGAATGAGATAAGGGTCATGTAAACTATCCTGTGGAGGCGGATTATTTTTCAGTCAATGTACTGCAAATCTTTTTTAGCACACATGCTCGGTGCTAACCCTCAGTGGGTACAGTGAGCATTATGTCACAGAGATCAGAGTATATGCTCACAGATAAGACCCTTGGAGGGGATTCAGTAGACACAGTAGATGCAGCAGGAGAGCGAATGCACTGGTTTGGTACTCACCATGTTGTGCGATGGATTAAACCAATATTAGGAGGTTAGATGTGTTTAAATTCACAGGGAAAATGAGTTTCTCTACATCCTTTCCCTATCAGATGACGTCAAGTACCCCGTCATCGACACTACTTGTAATGCTCCACTTGTGGTGGTATGAATGATACACTTGATGATATTAAAAATTTTATTCCAGTACTTACACTGTTACAAGTTTGCATTCATGCTGCTACCACTTTAAGTCTCTACCCTTTATCCACTGCTTTAATCTAACAAATTTTACTGCTTTTCCATTACGTTAATAGCCTGGTAAAACCAACAGGATTACGAGAGCTCAACATTCTTTTTTGCTCTCTGTATCAGTCTGGACTCTGTGGCGCCCCTAAACACTTTCAGTGAGCGGGATTATAGCTAGGGGGGTTTCATCACAACACAGTATTATATTGATTCTTTGAAAAATTATACGATATTTGCTGATATTACAAAAGCCCTTTTTAAATAGAAATTGTGCAGATTTGCAGGAAAGTCCAATCAGTCTTCGTTCAGCATTGGCAGTAAAAAAACAAAATAGCGTGCGGCAAAATGCCGCCTGCCTACTTTTGTTCATACACAATGTGCCTTTTTCGTGGCAATGGGGGGCGTGAGGAAGTAACAAAACGTGTAGCTCAGCGTGTGATGTAAACAGTGACGTACTCCGAGGGAAGCCGCGGCTGGTCAGTCCTTCGGCGATTCTCTCATAAGTTGGCCTGTCCTTCACCATCCCCGTCATCTGACGGTTAATGGCCTCTTCGTTTGCGAGGGCAAGGAGGGCGTGCAATTCCTTGTCTCCCCAATTGCTCATCTTTACAGTGTCTGTCAGGTTTGCATTTCCTTCTTGCTACTAGCTGCTCGCTAATTCCTGCTATCAGCGGTTTCCTGTTTATCCACCACCAGTGGGTCGCACATGCGACGTCATCAATAGCTCCTCCCACAAGTCTTCAACAGCCCCTCCCGTGGTGAAAGGGCTCCTCGTTCTTTTTAAACCAAAAAGGTTCCGCCAATATGACTACCCCTACGAGGCAGAAAATTGGGCACCTCGGATCAACTCGTCAATCGGCTCTGTGTGTTAAACGCTCGCAGCTTGCTGGCAAAATGGCCCAACATTCGCGGAAAATCTGGCAGTGTAAAAGGGGCTACAGTCTGCCACAAAATGATTTTGATTTGATGCGATTTAGTGGCCTGCGATCAATATGAGACAGTATTATCTGCCCATTTACGCACATAAATTAGATAAAGTAAATAACTGTAACCGCTTAAGTGCAGTGAAGTTTATTTTATACTGACTCCACTAACATAAAAACAGAAAAAGCACATGGGATAGGTTAGCCTTCAGAGCTTTCTGCCATAAAGACTTTTTTCTGAAAGAAATCTTTTGATTTTAACCCAAACCATCATCTTTTCCCTAAAACCTCAGGTCTATCTGGCTTAAAGCCCTGAAGGCAACCTTCTCCCAACAGCCATAAAACATGGATTAACAGCAACATCATTCAACTGAAGTATAATATTCAGCTCAGTAGTAACTGTCAAGGTTCATAGACATGTCAGTTGCTTTTTGCTCGTCACACATTATTAGCTTAAGCATGTTTACATTGCATAAATTAGCCTAGCGGCTAGCTGACTTTTCCCCCCTCTACTTATAGCTTAACAAATTACATATAATGTTATTATTTGGTTTAAGTCACTGCATCTCCTGACAGAACACATGTTTGAATTTCATCCTACATGCCTGTTTTTTTAGCCAAACATTGTTGAAACAGAGCAGCTAATGTTGTGAGGAGTTATATTAAAGGCAATATCTGTCGATACGGATGACTTGCTGACATTATCGTGCATCCATAATAACTATTCCAGCTGTATATCCATATTTTAAGCAAGCTAACGTTATTTCAACTGCTTCAGTACTTTTAGCAAACTGTTCCAACCATTTTTCCAACACCTTTAGCTAACGTTAAATATTTCAACTTCTCTGCTCACTTGCAAGCTAGTTTTCAAGCACTCTCAACTGACCTTTTTCACAGCAGACATTTTGACTTGTCACAGTAGGACAAGCAAAGTGAAACTGAACCATTAACCATATCTCATTTCCATTAAGTGTCCCAGTAAGCTGTTCCAGTGAACCAGCATGAGTATTAACAGGGCGTCCCTTAAGTGGAACGCAGCTGTCATTACTGTTATACAGCATCTCTTACAACATGTGGTGTTAAGGTTTTACATCTGACTCATGTTGATGGGCAGCTTACTGGTTATACAGTAGAATGCAACCAGTATAACCATTAATTTGACTGTTTATTTTTGTCCCCAACACAAATATGCAGTTTTTTATTTTTAATTAAATCACAGTTTGTATTTGTAGCTGAGTTTAACAGGAGGACACCCTGGGGTACAAATACTGGTGTGTCACTGCGTACATACACTACATAGTACTACTTTTAGCTTTGACTCATTTTACAGTCACCACTGTCCGGGGACACACCCAGGATACGTCCATTGTATGCTAGGAATGGGGGGGGGGAATGATACAGCATAGTATTGCGAAGTTTTTGTGTGGCAATATTGTGTCACCACACCGTGCCAAGTATTGATTATTAAGATGACAAATACAAATTAAACTTCATCATTTGCCTTTGCAGTCCACTAGATACATTTTGATGCTTCCAAAAAAGTGAGATAAACAGACTTTATCTTATATGATAAAACAGATGTTGACAAAGTTTTCCTTTGGTGACATAATTTACAGTTGGAAAAAGGTAATAAATCTATTAAGTATTGAGATAAAATCATATCGTGAATCCTCTAGTGATTGTAAGTGTAATATTACACTGCTTTAATCATGCATTCAGCTTTATATTGACTTATGTATTCATGTTTTAAACCATCTACACCTACACCTGGTGACGTGTGTGTGTATATGAGTGGCACTAGTTCCTAACCTGTCCAACCAGTCTTGCAGTGGTCATCACAGAGTGAGTGTTGTGGCAACAGTACTAACACATCAGCTCTTATGCCCTTCAGAGGATACATTTTATAATCATGTACCAGTCTTTTGGTGTGTGTGTGTTTGTGTGAGTGTGTGCTGCAGGGGATGTTGGGTGTAACACCATCAGAGGCTGGTGCTATTGTTCCCTCTACTCTGTCTGCTGTCATTTTACGCACACTCTCACGGACGCACACACACAGTGACAAAGTGCCTTATCGTGTGTCAGTACAACTGGTCTCACTGGCTTTGATGGACTGAGCGTGTCAGGAGGAGGAGGATGAGACAGAAAGAATATATGAAATGAGGAAGAGAGAAGAGGGAACAAGAGAAGAAGAGATGCCCGCGGAGGAAATAGACAAAACAGAGAGCAGGATGGTGAAAAGGAAGTCTGATACTTCTTGTGTTCAAGGTCACGTTGGAGGAGATGCGAACACACACTCTTGTATTTCTTAGGTTTATATTGAAAACAGATGTGAACTGAAAAGGAGAGTCGTGATTTTTCCAAGTGGTGTTTGAGGTACGCCCCCGGTTTGGAGAAGCAGACAGGAGTACTACCACAGAAGCAAAACAGTGTACTATTGTTTTAAACACCAAAGTCACACAATAACACAAACAGACTAACTAATGAAGGCAGTAGTAGATCAGAAGCTCCTGTGTTCATTGATGTTAAATCACCTATTTTCGCGATGGACCCTGGCCTTGAAGACAGCGATGTAATGGCTTCAGTTCCCCATCGGAAATTACTGTCTGATGGCCAAGTAAAATTTTCTCAATATACAGTAACATACACTTAAACAGATATAGATTTTTTAAGGTGGCTAAAATGTTTAGCCCAGGCAGCCTGCTTCTCCAAACTGGGGGCATGCCGATCACCATTAACTGCAAGTAATACACTGGCTACAGTTAAGTACCTCATACAACCCAGCTTCAAAAGGCCTGAACTATCCCTTCAATGACAGATCCTGTAGTGTGAGTAAAGTAAGATCATGACATAGTGCCCCCCATAGTGAGATCATCACTTCAATCCTGTGTGCACGTTATGAAATGTCCCTGAAGGTGGTAAATTATTGTGTCAAAGTAAATGTATTATGTTTATTTTGACTCCTTTTTAAACATTTTGGATAAGTAGGTTTTGCTTAAGTGAATATTTAATGTTTAAAATGACTGTTTCTTCTGTGGCTCTGTAAATATCTGTGATGTTAAGGTTAGTGTTTGACTCTGTGATTAGACTGTAACTTGTGTGTGTAAGGTCCACTCAGTATAACTGGCTGCAGGGCACTTGGTTTGAACTTACTAATGTGTGTTTGTGTGTGCTTTGATACTTATTAACTTCCACTCTGTCCACTGCCTCCTTCAGCCTTTCATTCATCTGCCACTTACTCCCTCTGTTCATGAGTAAATTATTAACCATGTCCCATCAGTGGTGTGAATATATTCCACATGTTCTCATACTCCAACACAATAACAAAGAAACCCACCGTAGACAGGTCCAAATGTGCAGCAGGTGACACATATTCTCACTGTAAATCTTTAATGTACTTGAGTCAGTTTGAAAATCAGATGTTTGTTGTTTCCCAGGTGCGAGTAGCCAAAACGTACATCATCTGTCCGATCCCAGAGTGCAGCGGCTACCTGGAGGAGGGAGTGGTGATTTCCCATTTAGCCAGCGAGGACGTGGCAAAGTATCGTTACTTTTTGGAGCTGAGTCAGCTGGACTCCAGCACCAAACCCTGCCCCCAGTGCAGTCACTTCACCTCTCTGAAGGGCCACAACCCCAGCCGCTCCGAGCACAAGTACAAGGTAAGATGGCAGAATGAAACACAAGGAAATACAGGAGAAAATTAAACTCCACATACAGCTGATATATAAATTTAAAAGTTTGTGTACTGACGCTGCAGATCACATGACCCGGTTAAGCAGTGTTTGAGACTGAGAATAAGACCACAAATTCTGATAAACTGAATATCTTGGAAAACAATTTTATTCTGCGGGCAACATGTTATTTACACAAAGGGAGATCTCTCTGCTCCTCTTTTTGAAGCATTTGAAAAATTATATATAAAATAATTGTGTAAGCCTCTCTCTCACAAACACCCTTTCCTTTTTTTATATTATTTTGATTGTTTTACTTCTTATTTTTAAATTACTTGCTTTTAGCAGTAGGATTTGAGGCAGTCGTGTTTTCAGATGTCTGAACTTGTGTACTTGATGAAGTGGGAAAAAAATTCAATAAAATTAATTTTTATTTTCTTACATTTCACCTGTGTAAACTAGGGCTGCCTCCGACTAAGAATTTTCCTAGTCGTCATTTAGGGCCATTATTCGACTAGTTGAAAGTGTGAGAAAGAATAGTATCAGTAACATTGTTAACACTGTGCTACATTACAGAGAAATACAAAACCGTACTAATGAACCTTCATTAATATAGGCCTATATTTTATCTACAAGTGCACGTCACACACTGAGCGAGCCGCCTGTTAATGACGCTGTGGGCTAATGGGCATGTAGCTACTTCCATGTTTCAGATGATACGTCATGTTTGTAGTCGACCAATGAAGATGAGTTTACATATCACCTTGGGTTAGTCCTTCACCTTCTCAAAATGATCCCACACTTTGGATTTCCTGCCCAACATGTTATTAACTAGCCTGTGGAATAACTGCAGGTTCCAGCCCTGGAAATTAACCGTCTTAATGCTTTCATTTATACATGATGAGAATCATCAATATGCAAATGAGGGCATGACATCATCTGGTGACTTTTAGCAACTTTTAGAAGTAGTGATAGCTACTTTCATTGGTGAAGAGTTGGCCACACCGATGGGTTTACTGTCTTCTGTCCTCACTGTAGATCCAGTGTAGCAATTGCCAGTTTGTGTGGTGCTTCAAATGCCACGCGCCATGGCACAACGGGGTCAAGTGTCGCGACTACAGAAAAGGAGACAAGCTGCTTCGAAGCTGGGCCAGTGTCATAGAGCACGGCCAAAGGAATGCCCAGAAATGTCCACAGTGCAAGGTAAGAATCCGAGTTGTTCTGAGCAGCATGGGCAGAGGAATGCTGAATGTGGGCGCCGTGTGAGACGGGAGCGGGTAAATGGAAAGAGGGCTGACTGATGGAGGGTGGAATCAATGTAGATGAATAAATCAATGAAGGCTAAGAAGCATGAGAACAAGGACAGATGATGGATGGGGCGCTGTAGGAAAAGTAGATGGACGCTCAGAGTTAAAGTGCATGTGGAACAGCAGGACAGAGACACACTGACAGCCAACATATTGAAAAACTAATGATGTCTCTGCTCCTGCACAAAACCAAATCTGGTAGACTCACTGGCATCTCCCTCACAGTCATAAAACGAGCCTGGTCTCATCACGACCAAGTTAGCCTACACAATATCTAATTTGACTGTCACAAGATGACTAAAGCAAGACGTAGATTAAGCTAATTACCGGTATATGGGAACTGTTTGCTCGCAGCAGCAAACACTTTCCATCTGTGTTGGTCGCACTGATGGCTCTGAGTCTGTGCTCTCGAAGCAGGGAGAGAGGATCGTGTTTGACTGTGACGCCAACAAATTGGTGTCATGCTGTGTTTAGCTGGAAAAGAGGCTGAGAGCAGCTGAACTTAATGCCCAGTTTATAGTAAGAGTGCTCACTGCTACAGCAGCCAAATAGCTAAGATCCATTAAGTGCACTGCTGCATGCATATTGCAGTGCAGCTCAGTAGAAGCTGAAGCAGATGCTTATAGTTTTCAGTTTGAAGATGAGAGTAAACTCTGCGAGTGTTGCATTTCAGTGCTGCTAAGACTCATTTTACAATGAAGTGAGCTGATTTTGAGTCTGGATGGAGAACATGATAGTGTATTCAAGCTGAAAGAGTGAAAGATATACTGAGAATTCCATAGCTTGTTATCAAGTTAATGTGTATTGCCTCATCTTCTTCTGTAGATCCATATTCAACGCACAGAGGGATGCGACCATATGACATGTACACAGTGTAACACCAACTTCTGTTACCGCTGTGGAGAGCGCTACAGACACCTAAGGTTGGAAACTTAATTTTCTCTGACTGCTTTTTCCTCCTTTTTTCTACATGATTATTTGATTTGATCTTTACCTTTTTTTGCTGTCAGGTTTTTTGGGGACCATACGTCCAACCTCAGCGTGTTTGGGTGCAAGTTTCGCTATCTACCTGACAAACCTCACCTGAGACGGCTAATTAGAGGGTCTGTCTGTGGTAAGTCGGTGTGGGAGTGGGTGTGTGTGTCTGTGTGTGGGTGGGGGGAGTGTCTTGAATCTGTACTTTAACTTTCTTTAAACAGTGATACATTTTTTAACCTCAGGTGATTAAGAATCTTTAGGACATGCAAGTAGCGTAGCTCTGAGGATGACAGTGTTGGTCCAAATGGAATTATCTCCGCAGTCATTGTATCAGTGGCTGTACTACTTTGCACAAACATTTATGGTGCCCAGAGGATGAATCCTACTGACTTTAGCCCCTTTCACACTGCCTGTTCAAGGCAGGAACCTCGCACATTATGGCACCTTGTTATTCTTTATAAAAGGCATGATCACAGAATGAGGAGACAGAGTTGTCTCGCTTCTGAGCTAAGATTGGAGGGAGTAACAGCACCAAAACAATGTCTGTATAGGACAGCCAGCAGGATGGGATCATGGGCAGCAAGGGTGAAATTATGATGATGTATTATGCGTGCAACCCTCTGCCAGAGATTTAAAAGTAGCTGATAGCAGTTAGCAGCTAACTCAAAAAAGAAGAACAGTGCCCCAAAATGTTTACAAAATTGTAAAACAATGAGGTTCAGGAGCTCTTTATACTCCGAGTAGAGGACAAGATCAGCCCCCGTATAACAGAGATGGTAAATGATTGTTTTCCACCATGTTATGCCATTGTTATCGTTTGTAAAGTGCTGCTGTCACATATGTTATATGTCACACTAGAGGCCGATGCTATTGTGTTACATGTGAAGCTGGTGATGGCTTTTTTGATTCCGCGATGCTGGCATGATACCTGAAAACACACGGGAGCGGCATGATGCCATCGCTGTTTGGTACTGTGTCAAAATGCAAAGGGACTTCGTAGTGACCATTTAGCACGAGGGCTTTTGATGATCCCCTGACTGATGATTCTCTAGAGCCACCATCAGGTCAAGTTTATGCCGAAGTAGCAAACTTTTCAGCTAATTTTCCAACTGTACGGGGGTAGAATTTTAATAAAACTCACCCATTTAAATGCAATTAGGGCTTAGTGTTACGCATAATCAGGGTGTAGCTGCTTTGACTGTCAGATAGGTGCTGTCTGTTGTCAAGTGGCTACCACAGTGACAACGTTGGTTTGGTAACGTAACTAACGTGTAACCCCAGATTCACAGAGTATAGGCGTAGCCATAGCTATCTTGGTATGTTTTTGGTTTATGAAAGTTATTTTAACATTTTGGTCACCAAAAAAAAAACCTTGTTCAGTGTTTGGTTGTATTAATAGACCCTCTAAGGAGTCGGATGCTAGGTTTTCTTTTCAAGTACATTTTGTTTTAATGGTTATAAGCCTGTTTTTTGTTCGCAAAAATTAGCATTAGCATTATCCCAGTTATCCCTAGCTGTAAATGCACCTTACTAACCAAACTAGCAGCTGGTGTTCGGGTTAGCTTCACCCTCTCATCCAAATATGGTCACTACTCATCACTATTGGCTCCAAAACTCCCAAAGGGGACAGCCAAATGCCAAAATCAAGGCTTCGAAACGAGTGTCCACTAAACAATAGTCTCAGCTGTGCTTTGTTTTTGTGTTAGCGTGCTAACATGCTCAGCAAACATGGTACTATTGAAACCATATTTACCAAACAGCAGCATCTTAGCATAGTCTCTTATTCTGCTTTAGTAAGTGACTTCCTGTGTTCCCCTGAATGCTCAAAAGCCACAATAAATCAGTCACCATGTTGCACTCTGATAGAAATAGCAGTGGAATTGTTTTTCTCATCATGCTGTGGATAAAAACCTGAAGTCCAAATGTGTTCTTGCTGCCTTGCCTGATGGCCAGCCAGCCACGTCTTATCTGTGACGGCCATAAATTAACCTTTTGATAGCAACAGCAACGAACACTTCCATATTTAGCTCTGTACTGGCAGAGAGTGCTGAGGAAAGGCTTCATAATGAAGTGTGAAAGAATCACATATCAGATTACATTAGTTATAATTATCCATTCGCAGTTATCAAATTTATGCTGCAGCAAGCCTCCAGGAAGCTGAACTCTGATAGATTTGTTTGACTCTGCTCTCCATGACAGCTACAGCTAGTTATATCAGCGGGGTGCCTGTTGAACTGCGAGCTAATTTGTCCCTTAACGAGAACCACTTAGCCATTACAGTTCTCGTCGCTGTCTTCGTGCCATGGACTGTTAGCGGCACAGATTTTGCATGTAATAAGGGACGTCTTAATGTGGATGGACAATTTTCCCAAAAATCTGCTTAGCATTCAGCGGCTTCCTCCGCCAAATTGGTGCACTGATGGCCAAACATCTTGAATTTTTTTTTTTTTTTTTTTTTTGCAGTGATGCACATTAATTTTAAATTGTGCAGTTTCTGTTCCATCTGAAAGGAACATTTATTCATTATGAATGATTATTGTCCTTCTCTTCTCTGTCTCTGTCTCTCTCTCTGGCTCTCTCTGCAGCCACGAAGGTGCTGATAGCTCCAGTGGTCATTTTGCTGGTCATGGTGCTCGGATCTCTCGCCTTGGTGATAGGTAACATAATTACACACATGAGCACACTCCAGAGAGAGCAGTAAACAGATAGCAGCTAAATGCTTTGACTGTATTACAAATATTTTCTGCCTCACAGCAAAGCAGGCGCACTGTCTCGGCAACAAAACTAGGTCAAACTAAGTATATGGCTGGACCGTGTATGAAACAGATTTGAGTCAGATGATGTACGACCCCACGTGACTGGTGGAGGCTGCACAGGCATTGGCTGCTATCGAAGCCAAGTTCCACTGATAACGATAGTTTACAAAACTCTATGGTGCCAGTAATCAGCCAAACGGATGAACTGGTTGGCTGCCAGTTGGGGTTGTTCCCAAGGTTCTGATGCTTTATTTCCACTTTCTCCACAAAGCAGTGGCACCCGTTCTGATATTGTTACATGTAATAGTCAATAGAGTTACTATTTAGGGGCAAAGAGTTTTCATTAACTGTTGTAAATGACAAAGAAAAGCATCCAATTCTCACATTTCAGAAGCTGGAACCAGCAAATGTTTGACTTTTTTACTTATAAGTGAACTGAAACAATTAATTGATTGTCAAAATAGTCGGCGATTAATTTTCTTTCCATCAACTACTTGATTAATCGACAAATTGTTGCAGCTCTATTACTTGTTAATTTTAAGCCGTCTGTGTCATACAGACATGGCTGTTCCTCTAACAAATTGACGAGGTGATCCTCTTTTCTCTATCCTATTTTGAGTACAGCTGGTTATTTAGCTAGCTATCATGCTAATTCCACCATGCTTTTATGCTAACGTTACAGTGGTTACAGGAAATGAGCTGAACAAAGTTGTCACTCATCTGATAACAGCAGTGTGTTTTTCTAGGCTGTGCGGTGTATGTTGATGAAGCATTATTAAGTTGTTAAATTTTACTTATGTAGCAGTTAGCTAGTTAGTTAGCTAGCTTGCTAATTCCACCACAATGCGGGACTGTCAGTGCTCACAGCTCTGTCAGTTCCTCTCAGGCCCCTGGAAAGTGTGCCAGGCTTTAAAGCCAATTTTCACCGTGGAAAAACAGTAGAATTACAACGTTAGGCTCTGTCACATGATGCTGTCGGGCCCCCAAACACTTTTCTATAGACTTTTGAAAGAAACGTCTATAAATCAGTGGTTACATTTTTTAAGCATCATAACCTTTGGAAAATGACTCGTGTCACTATCAGAATTTGCTCCTCTCAGTCCAGTATCATTTGGGAGGTCTAGAAAAGCTGTGCAATTAAATAATATATCCCCATTCAAGTTAGAGGAGCAGTAACTAAAAGTTTCTAGTGCATCTGCTCTATGGGCCCAGTGATGTGAAGCGGTGCCGATCATCTGGTTAGTTTCATTAGTAGCAGCTGAGTGTTTGCTTCATTCTCCTCTGGGAATGAACGAGGTCCGCTTCCAACACTGTATCCAGTTCTCTTCATACATCCATGGTGTACAATCCTGGGGAATGGGGAAACACCAAAACTTACATCATCACTCACTCACTCACTCACAGACAGTCTAGCGTTTATAAAGCTGGCCTCGCATACTGTGATCTAGTCCAAAAAAAGAGCCACACACGTTATGTTAATATGCGTTACATTCTCACTGATGTGTACTCGCGTCAAAGACAAGTAAACTCTCATTGTTTTTAAAATGCCAGCACTGTGGATCCAGATTATCACTTTTCCTGGGCTTTTACTTCCTGGAACTACATTTACTAGTAATATCACCCAGCTGCACTCTGCGAGCTCTCTGTCAGACAGCACTGTGAACTATTGATGCCTCAGCTGAACTGTAATTAGTGTTAATCTCTTTCCCGTGTCTGTGCGTCTGACAGATGATCCGCTGTGGGCTAACATGCCGTGATGGCAGATTCACATTTATTTTCACTGTTATTAGAATCAGTGTTGTGCTGCTGCTGCTCTCTGTTTCAGCTCAGTTCATTTCATATATGCCAAATCTGTAGGCAGTGCGCTGTAACACGGAATAATCTAGTCAAATCCATCCAGAAAACTCATTAGAGCTTAACATTAACACATAATTTCAGATTTACATTGTACAGTAATGAATAGATGATGAAAATTAGCATCATTAGAAACAAGTATAGTTTGCTTTAATTCATCTCTCTTCCCTCTCCCTCTTCATCTCTACCACCACCTCTCCTGTCCCCAGGTTTCGTAGTTTTCCCAGTCTACTACGTGTGTAAGAGGAGGAAGAAGCAGCGCACGCAGGGCTCCGGACGCTGGATCTGAAACCTGCCCTGCGCCTTGTCTAGACCACACACGCAGCTTGAAGACATCTCCTCAGGGACGAAAACGCCAGCCTGAGTCACCGCAAATGTCTGAGGGGAACATCACAAAATTAACAATGGCAATCAGTGAAAAGGGCAGCAGTGTCTCTTTCCAGAAATCATAACCCGGTGACTCAAGATAATCCACACACCTTGTTGTGAGCAGTTTCATGTAGGAACTATTTTCCTTCCGCCTAAGTACACCTACCAAGTGTATCACAGCGCAGTAGGAAGCGTCCATGACACGTCACAGGATGTTTAAGCAGTGTCCATTTGCAGCTTTTTACTCTTCTGTCATACATTTAACAACAGCTGTCTCTCAGGAGAACAAATCTAAACGCATGTAACGGACGGATGCAGTTGTGTTTACACCCGCACTCATGAGAACGCGTTAAAAGAGCAAGCTTGGAGCGCATTCCTTGGTCGATATGATGGCGTACATACTGGATATTATGAACACTGACTGCTGGGAAACAGTAGGAGGAGCTCACAGATGAGAAACTGATACATGTGAGGAAATAATATCTTCCTTATTGAACTTTTGCAAAAGCTTTAGTCATTTGTCAACAATGCGAGATGGAGTTTAGGACCAAGCCATGATGGGAAATGAGCTCTCACAGCTAGACACTGACTTTGTTCATCCTCTGCTGGTGGAAACTCAGATAATATTGGATATTAAAAATTCCAATTGCGATGCGGAGTCTTTGACAGGCACACTGTTGAAAATAATATAAGAGGACTTCACATGGAGGGATGGACGGATGATAGTTGAAGGTTTTGCATGAAGATTTAAAAGCTGAGTTGTGTGTCTGGACCCTGAGAGTGACACACAGGCCACACCCACTATATAAAAAATGGGGTGTGTTCAGCCCTCTAACCCCTAAACGAAATATTGCAAAGTGGAATTTCAGCAAGCCTCCACTGTTCCCTGTTCTCCATCAACTCCTCCTTCTATCTGCCCCTCATTTCTATTCGGTCCCTCCTCTCCGCCTGGTTGGACAGTGGCTCACACACCCTCCCTGCCTGGCAGGTCGTCTCTGCTGTGCCCACACACTGTATGCCAGTATCTGCATCATCAAAAAAATAAATAAAAAAAAAAAAGCTGCTGTGCGGCAATTGTGCCAAAACAAAACGCTGAATGTGGCAGGTCAGACGGTTGACCCTGTCCCTTTGTTAGATTATTTTGTTGTTATTGTTTTTTTAGGGGGTTGCCTGTTGCAGAGGTTTTGGTTGGTGATGCTGTCAGTGTGTAGCGGAGTCTGCGTAAAGAAACAGAGGCTCTATAAGACTGTAGGTATATGCATTAGATAGTTACATGCTGCTTAAAGTTAAAGTGACTGAACATGCTGTTGCGAATGGTAGCTGTTGCTAAACAGGATAAAGTATTTAAGATTGTACTTTTCTTTACGATGTAGCCGGGGTGGTGGTTTGCTTCAGAGCTGAACAGGGTGTTAGGGTTTTTGTTTTTAAGTATGAGTTCAGAGGTTATCCTCAGGCTGCTGTGCGCTGAATGTGTGGAATAAATTTGGATGTTAAAGGTCCAGTGTGAAGGATTTAGAGGGATATATTGGCAGTAATAAATTATTTCTCTGGTGTATAAACACCGGAAAATTAGTACCGTAGTGTCGCCGTCGTAGTTAGCAAGCCAAACAGCACCCGAGAAACCCTGATTTTTAACATGAAACTGCTTTATTCAGTGTTTTTACCGGTTTAAATCACCTGATCTGTTTGTTTTGGAGAGGAAGAGACCTCTGAGGATAATTCGGCTGCAAGTAATAATCTCCTAAATGTCTGGATCTTAAATTATCAAAGAAAAAAGCTGAGCAGAAGAGCAGTACATCTGCGACGAGCCAAACATCATCAAAGAAAGGCTCATTTATAGTGTGAAACTGCTTCATTCAGTGGTTTTACCGGTTTAAATCATCTGGTTTGTTTTTTTCTGTAGAGGAAGAGACCTCTGCGGATAATTCAGCTCCTGGTAAAAACCTCCCGAACATCTGGGTCTTAAGTTATAGAAGAAAAAAGGTGAGCACACATTAGCAGATGCTGGGCTAACAGCCCATCTGCGACGAGCCGAACAGCATCAGAGAAACGCTCATTTTTAGTGTAAAATTGCTTTATTCAGTGTTTTTACCGGTTTAAATCACGTGGTCTGGTTTTGGAGAGGAAGAGACCTCTGCGGATAATTCGGCTCCTGGTAAAAACCTCCTGAGCAATGAACACTGAAGGAATCCTAACTGGGCATCTGCAGTCCTCACCTCTAGATGCCACTAAATCCTACACACTGTTCCTATGATTGTTAGGTGACCAGGTTTCAAGAAGTGATGCACAGAGTTTGGTTTTGCGTCTGATATTTGCAGTGGTAAGAGAACGTCTGTCTGTAATGAGAGTTTGGATAGTGACATAGTGGCTTTTAAGTCATACACAATGGCACACACTGCGAGATAGCACACACTCAGCGTGCTGCCAGGAAACAGGAGATTTTCAAGAGCTTTAAAGGTCATCACCTGGCAGCAGCCAGCTCACTGTCCTTCACTTATCCCTCTATCCTCTCCTCCCTGCTGTCAGGCCCTAGTTTTGAAAATGAGTGCACATCCACTGGAGCTGTGGCGGCTGTTGAGCCACAAAATATTCATCCAGACTCGACGCTTTGGAGCCTCTGATACGTGAGAATAGCACAGAGCTACCTGCGGAGTGAGCTGCGGTCGAGTACAAGTGGTTTCCACATCACTCACAGATATTGTTTTGTGTGTTTAGCTCACCCCTTCACTGAGTGATCTTTTTTTTTTTTTTTTCGCTCCATCGTGAGACGTTTATGAAGACGGTTTAAAGAAAACAAAGACGAGGACAAGCACAATGTATCTGCACATAAGAGATGCTACAGCATGGAAAAGGATGTGGGATGATAAAAGCCAAGGCCTCCATTGGAAACAGAGAAGATCATTGCATAATGAAATTTGTAGTGGTTACCAGTGGGACATATTCTGAGTGTTGCAGCACATTTCATCACTGGATCACTGACACCAGGATTTAAGGCATGAAGGAAAAGCAGGGTTGATGTTCATGCATGTTGGACATCATTAGCTCGTCTTTATCCCAGGGATCTGACACATTTTCTACATCTGGGATTTAAACACTGACTGTCAAAGTGCAGTGAAACTGTACATAAAAGGGTCCTAAAGGGCACCGACAATATATTGCTACACACACTGCTTTCAGGAGGTCCTGACTCTGGGTTTGAATCCACTCTCAGGGAGTTTGTTTTCTGTTCACTGTACCCAGAGCGCTGCATCCACACGAGCTGTGCCACAGACATCGCAGAGTTAAAATGCTTCCTGATACATTTGCCCAGAGCTGCTTAGCGAACATATTAAATTCCAGGAAGTAAAAACATTGTAGTGTCAAAAGAGATCCAAATATCTCAGAGATGCAAACACAGTCTGTGTTTTTAGAGCATGACTCAGCTATTTGTGAAAGCTGCTTAGGTGTCAGGGGACTGAAAAAGTCCAACGAGGAAATATGTATGAGTCATACAGTGCTGGGAAATTAAATGTGTAAGGTATGCGCCAAACATAAACATTGACACTGTCTACTTAAAGAAATATTAAATTCCCCCCTCTAAATGACCATCTGTTTATCAGTTACTCACCCTAAGAAAACTTTTTTCTCACATGCCTCCAGTGAACTAAGAATCCAAAAACTGAGAACATTCTCAAAGCACTTAAGTAGATGGGAAAAAAATACATCAAAACATAAGAATTCAAGTCTTAGCATCCAGTCACTTCCCAAATAGACAGTCATTGCTGACAGGGAACTGAACTAAAAGTGAAACTTATCTGTGTTCTCTTCAAAGCCAGACTCCATTGACAAAAACAGTAATTTTACCTCACTGAACACAGGAGCTGCTGGTCTACCACTGCCTCTATCAGTTAGTTTGTTTGTGTTACTGTGTGCCTTTGGTGTTTTAAAGGGTTAGTTCAGATTCACCAAAAGTCACACGATAACAAAAATAAACTATTGATAGGAGCAGCAGTCGACCAACAGCTCCTGTGTTCAGCAAGGTAAAATTACTGTTTTTGTCAATGGAGTCTGGCTTTGAAGAGAACATAGATAAGTTTCACATTTAGTTCAGTTCCCTGTCAGAAAGTGTCATCTGTCTTTGAAGTACTAAGCATACGACCGGATAAATGAGACTTGGATTATACTGCATGAGTTGTGTGACAGTTTGTAAATGATACACACCAATAATCTAATCAGTTAGTTGACCAGAAAGGTCATTAGTCGGCAAGATTTAATGATTGGACCATGTGGGACTTTAATTTGAAAGGACAGAGACAGGAAGTGTCCACGCTCAGGGGTCAGGTTAATTTCCAGGGCTGGTACCTGCGGCTATTCCACAGGCTAGTTAATAACATGTCGGGCAGGAAATCCAAAGTGTGGGATCATTTTGAGAAGGTGAAGGACCAACCCAAGGTGATATGTAAACTCATCTTCATTGGTCGACTACAAACATGACGTATCATCTGAAACGTGGAAGTAGCTACATGCCCATTAGCCCACAGAGTCATTAACAGGCAGCTCGCTCAGAGTGTGACATGAACTTGTAGATAAAATATAGGCCTATATTAATGAAGGTTCATTAGTACGGTTTTGTATTTCTCTGTAATGTAGCACAGTGTTAACAATGTTACTGATACTATTCTTTCTCACACCTTCGACTCAAACCACCAAAATATATCATTTAATAATTAAATTAATGTCATGAACATACGGGGGACTAGTTGACTAATGGCCCTGAATGACAACTATCAGTCGACTAGGAAAATTATTAGTCAGGGGCAGCCCTAGTTTTTGGATCCTTCATTCAACATGGAGGCATGCGAGAAAATCAAAGTAGTCTTTACAAATTAAACACGGGGTGAGTGATCGATATACAAATGGTCTTACACGCACCTAACTGCTCAGCTAGTACTACACTGACATGTTATATTGCTGCATTATTTGTTTGTTTGAAACACGACTGACAGCGTGATGGACATATGTACTTAAAATTATTTTAATCATCTGTGGGCACATGTTTTCCACTATATCCATGGCTTTTCACCACAGACATTCCCCTGCACTTTACCACCACTGAATTATTAAGTCCATTGATCACCTTATCACCAAAAAAAATAGCAAATGGTATGTTTAATAACTGAACAATCATTAACGTAATTTAGTAAGTAAACATTGGGTCACAAAAAAGGAAGCGCCTTTTTCGGAGCAGGGGTTTAAAGTCAGATTTATTTGGCGATTTTGCTGTCAGACAGTAAATTTAAATATGAATTTGTTCTTCCTGCTCAGCTGCAGGACAAATGTAAATGAATAAGGGTTTCTAACATGATTAGGGCAGCCTCGCATCTGATTTATTTCACTTTATACACATGTATTAATCCACTCAATCACTGTTAAGATGTCATCATTGCTTTGTTTTGTTGTTCCTACATATTACTGTCTTCATCACGTCTCTGTAAAGACTAAGCAACTGTTTGGGTAAAGCTTAACAAGCAAAAAGGAAATTGCTGTAAATCAATTTCATTCAGTTTCATGAGTTATTTTGGCCAATGATTTTCCTGTGCTGGGGCGTATTGGCTGGCTGATCCCCCCGGCCTTTTTTTGTGTGTTACAATCCCATAATATTGGCATAATTATGCAATAGTGCCTTCACAGCCATTATAGATCAGGGTTTGCCAATCTGTGGTTCAGGGCCCCTGTGTGACTCCAAAGATTAGAAATGGGCCTCAAGTCATGCATCAACAGAAACATGTAGGAACCACAGGTAAATATATCTATGGATCTGTTACCCCAACACACACAGGCTATTCTGCAGAGGCCCGCAATTAAGAATGTGTGTTTTAAATTGCTGAAGGTGAAACCAAACCTATGATATGTTACAGGTGACCACGATACAGGGTGTCAGCTACGTCCCAAATACTCTTTATGGTTTTGCACAATTACTGTCACTTTATTTTGGCTCATATAAACCTCACTGTCTGGTCTCGCCCTGTCTCCAGCATCAGGCGACTGTGACAAAGTGACGGACGTGATTATATCAAAAAGATGTCTCAGTTTAAACAACTTAAATACATAGTTATAGTGACAATATATTAATAAAGGTTCATTTCAACTCAGGAGGCCTGTGAGTATTTGTGTTGCTGTGACATCAGGATGCAAACTTTAGCAACGTTTACTGTCTGTATGCCACTTTGTTTTTAAGGGTATTTCTAATCAGAGAAATGTCTTAAACGTAATCACTGTCCTCCTCATTTGCACTAAAACAGATTCTTCCACCTGCTGCCACCGTTATAAATGTCTGCTGATATGATGATCGCCCACTTAGACAGGCACAAACTCTGTTTTCATCTGAGGATCTGATGAAGAATAAACTAAACTGGGTCAAATGCCAGCGTCTTCTGGTCAGACTGTTTTATTTGATATTGATTTATTATACTTTCGCCAGACAGGTTTGTTAATGTTTGATTTATTTAATGTTTTAAAAGCACCGACAGTCTACAGTACAAACTGTATGGACGTCTCCCTGTTGTGATTGCAGCATTACGTCAGCAGGGGTCAGACACGAGCTGCAGGAGGCAGATCCCTACAACCTTGATTTGTTTTATTTTAGTTTTTCATTGGTAATGCAAAGGCAAAATGACACGCATTGGCAAAGTAACAAAGAATAGTATAGTACTGAAATTATTTGGCAGATTACTAATGTTAAAAATAATTAGTAATTGATCAATTTTAAATAACTGAAATGATAATACAGATTTAATTTCTTCAGCATTTTTTAATTGTGAATCCCCTTTTTATTATTATTGGTGGTAGTATTAATTGATGTTTATATTAAGAGCTGTACACAACAATACAAAGAAAGACATTGTGTAAGTGGTTTAAAAGAAAACATTTTATAAAAAGAAAAATTATGAGGTACTTTATCTGAGTATTTTTATTTTTAACTTTTTTTCCCCAATTTTAGGGGAAATTTATTCTGTTGCATGTGGATTTAACATACTTTTGATACTTTAATTATGTTTTGATGTATTTTTACATTAGCATATTTTTATTTTCATCACGAATTGCAGGTATACATTAATTAATAACTGATGTCAATATGCAATAACAGTTAAAAAAATATATAAAATAAAATATTTTTATTATATATATA